TACAGTACCCAAAAGATAAGGAAGAAAAAGCCCAACAGTATAGGAAGAATGAACTTCAAAGTATTCCAAGAAATATCTGTAGGATTCTATTACAGCAACATGATATAGAGAGAAGAGCGCTAATACGTCCTTTGGTTACGATGTTGCCATATGAGCCCAGTCGCCTAAAGTGTCCTGGATACTTATGAATTAGGATTAAACTCCTTGGGTCCCTTCCTGTTCCCAGATTCCACGATCTCGAAGAAGTGTGGAATGATGGATAGAGCTTTGAGCTCGTCATCAGGAAGACGTAGGTTTAGATCCTGCTTCAGAAATGTATGAGTTATGTAACCATGGTCAAGTCCCTTAACCTCTGTGCCTCAGTTTCCTTCTCTACCTAATGCAATGTTTGAACTTTATGGCCTCTAAGATCCTTTGGAGCTCTGAATCTAGGATCTTATTCTTCAGAGCCCTCTATCTGCCATTATTCTTATTAACTAAATAATTAATTATTATAATTATAATTTATCAACATATACTATTTCCACATATTTCCAATACTAGCTAATGTTTACGTAATACTTTAAAGTTTACAAAGCGTTCTACATGTTCTCTCATTTGGTCCTCACGACAGCCTTGTGAGGTATAGGTGCTTTTATCCTCCCCATTTTATAGACGAGGAGACTGAAACTGAGCATGTAGATAGTAAGGCTCTTAAGTAAGATCTGAACTCAGATCTTCCTGACTCTGAGTTCTCTATCCACCCTGTCACCTTGTTATAGGAGGGTAGGGACTGTCAAAGAGGCTGTGAAAAGGACTTATAAAGAAAATCTTGTACTTGCTCATACAGGAAGGGAGACTCTTTCCCCGCTTCCAGACATGCATCCTGTAGATGAACAATCCTAATACATCACTCTGTAGAGATGCCAGACCACAAAGCCCTGAATGAGATTGATCAGCCAAGGGAAGAATCAACACAACATAAGAAGGCCCAGGTTTATGAAGTACAAGCTTCTCCTGGAATAGCAGCTGTGGACAGATTGCTTTCACTGAACTGAGAGTGGCCTCTTCAGTGGAACGAGAGAGGTAGATATGTGTGTATGTGTGGGAGCTGCGGGGAGCTCAGGGAAGGGGTCGATGTGCGTGTGGGGTGTGAACCTGATCTTTGGCTAATATTTATTTATCTCCTTTGTGTCAAGCCTTTCCCTCTGACTATTTGCCTACTGACACCCCAAAATGAATTAGAATCATGGGACTTGGTGTAACTTATATAACATAATTTTTCTTATCACACACATGCACACACACATACATTCCTACCCCCAGGGTGCTCTTGTGTGTTACAGTGCCTTAGGCTAGGCCATAGGGAACTAGTTATGTGATTTTTTTATATTATTTCCCCCATGTCTCTCTTCATATCTTATTGAGTCATTGCTGATGCCGTTTGATTTGAATTCCTCACTTTTCAGCTCACAGACTCTCAAAAAAATTAATACTCACCACTAAAAAACAAAACTTATCTCATGCTAATTTATATTGATTTGGTTGAGTGCTTCTAATAAGCTTTATATATGTTGGACCAAATCTAGTGCACATTTTCCTCCAAATCTGACTTGTAGAAAACCTATGTGAAGTCTAAATCAGGCTTTTATTAGCATTAATGAAACATGTCCAGGCATTTGAGTCATCTCTGACTCACTGTGACCCCATTTGGGGTTTTCTTGGCAAAGATACCACAACTTCCTTCTCCAGCTCATTTGACAGATAAGAAAACTGAGGCAAACAACATTAAGTGACTTACCCAGGGTCACACAGCTGATAAGTATCTGAGTCTAGATTTGATCTCATGAAGATGACTCTTCCTGACTCTAAGCCTGGCATTCTATCCACCGCACCATCTGGCTGCCCTAACACAGTGTAGGCTGATGCGGTACAAAGAGCATTAGATTTGGAGCCAGAGGACCCAGGTTCAAATCCAGGCTCTTTCACTTACCATCTCTGTAACCTTGAGGCGAGTTACTTAATCTCCTTGGCACTCAGTTTCCCTATTTGGAAAGTGAGGAGGTTGTATCAGACGTCCTTTAAGGTTTGCTCTAGCTCTATGGACCTTTGAACCTTCAAGTTTTAATGATCTCCAAGGGAAGCAACAGCTTCCCTGATGACCTGGCTGCTCTGTGGAAGTCGCACCACTGAGCAAGGCACATTTTCTGATTTGTACCCATTTTACTGAATGATCCATCGGCTTTCCCTTTTCCCTCAAAGCCCCAGCCTGGATACTGAGAAGAGACCCCAGGAGGCTCCTTTCCTAAAGAGTTTGCACTTTGTCCAGAGATTGGAGTTTTAACTTCATGCTTATCATCTCTATGCACATAATTCCCACGTCGATACATGCAGCCCTCATCTCTCTCCTGAGCTCCCGTCCTACGTAGGCATTTCCAACTCAACACGTCCAAAACAGAGCTCATTATCTTTTCCTTAAAGCCTTTCCTCTTCCCAACTTCCTTATTATTGTTGAGAACACTACCACCCTCCCATTCACTCAGGATCACTATTTTGTGTCATCTTTGACTGCTCAGCTTCACTCATCACACAAGTTCAATCCAATGTCACATTTCATAGTTTCTTCCTTGACAACAGCTCTTAGCAGTCACCTTCTCTCTGCTCTTAAAGACAGCCTGATTCAGGCTCCCATCACCCCACACTTGGACTAGTACAACAGCCTTCAAATTGGTTTTCCTCGTCTCAAGTCTCTCCCCACTCCAATTCATCCTCTACTTAGCTGCCAAAGTGATTTCCTAAAGCTCAGGTCTGACCATGTTACACCATTATTCAATGAACTCTAATGGTTTCCTCTTACCTCTCTTTAAAGATCCTCTCTTTAGCAATTGCTCTTCACAACCTGGCCCATTCCTATCTTTCTAGTCTTTTAGCACATTATTCCCCTCCATACGCTCTACAATCCGAATACATTGACCTAATCGCTGTTCTTCATACATGACACTCATTTTTTCATCTCCATACCTTTGAGTTGGCTGTGTACCCCAGGCTAAAATGTTCCCTCTCTTTACTTTCACCTCTTTTTTTCTTGGCTTCCTTTAAAACTCAGCTCAAGTCCTAGACTCTACAGGAGGCCTTTCCCAATCCTACCAGCTGCTAATGCCTTCTCCTCTGACATCACTTACCATCTGCTCTGTATTTATGTTGTATGTACTAGTCACTCATGTGTCTCCCCACTTAGAATGTGATTTCCCTGGTTTTTGCCTTTTTTTTTTTTAGTATCCCTAGAGCTTAGTACAATGCCTAGTAAATGTTTGTTGACTGTTGTAGATAGATGATCCTAGGGTTGCAATTTTAACAGCTACAGAGATAGAAGTCCATGGAGTTCGATGACATGGGATGGAAAAATGGGCAGGGGTAATTCCATGGAGATTCTAAGTTTGGGATTTCATAGCTTTAAAACTGAGGAAGGAGCCCTTCTAGGAATTAAGTAATAATGTGGAGGAAGAAGGGGAAATGAGAAAGGAAGGGCAAGAAAGAATAGCTCTACTAGGCTCCTCTTCAGTTAAGAAGAAAATAAATTTCCAAGTTTTTTTGCCATTCTTAATGATTCCTCTCTTCTTACTTCCCTTTTATTTATTAGGAGGTCAGAACGTTTTGATGTCAATGTGTCATAGCAGAAAGTGGGTTGCAGTAAACAAAGCTAGATTCAAATTCCTCTGACCATAGAATTATCAGTTAATATCTCAGAGTCTCTGTTTACTTATCTGTAAAATGAAGATCATATTTTACTGCCTGTCTCACAGGGTTGTTTGAGAAAGTACTTCTCAAAACCTTAGAATGTTATGTAAACCTGAGCTGTTGTTATATTATTGCATGCTAAAAAACCATTTTTTCGATTTCTAGTAGAAGAATAGGTTTCTCTCTAATAAGTCATCATTTATGAACATTGTAATTTTGTATATTTCTTTTTCCCCTTTTCTTCAGGACATCTATATACAGAGAATTCAGCATGGCATAAAGGAGAGCTAGATTTAGAATAGAAAAGTCATAGGCTCAAATCCTGCCTTTAATATTTAATAGCTAATGACTATGGGCAAGTCATTTAACCTTTCTGAGTCTCAGGCAACTCTCTAAGTCTTTAAATTATAGTCAAGTAGGCTGATCTGCCTGGTTAAAAGAAGGTACCTTAACTACAAAATCACTGGTCCTTGACATATTGACACAAAGACACACACCAATACAGAGAGACATGCACACAAATTATTCTTCTCAAATAGATGTCATTTAAGAGATTTATGGACCAATGTGGTGGCATTTTTGTTGTTTGTTGTTGATCAGTCATTTTAGTTGTGTCTGACTCCTGGTGACCCCATTTGGAGTTTTCTTGGCAAAGATACTGGAGTGGTTCACCATTTCCTTCTCCAGCTCAATTTACAGATGAGGAAACTGAGGCAAACAGGGTTAAGTGACTTGCCCGGGTTTAAAATATTTACCCAAACCCATAATATTAGGCATCTGGAATAATTCATAAACATCTTACAGTATTAGTTTGTTGTGACCCTAATGTTGAAAATAAATGGACATCTCTGTAAAGTTGGAGCAGAAGGGCCAATTAAATACTCCTCCTGTCTGATAGATTTTTCCAAACCAAATCTTTCCACCGAGAGGCAACTGCCTGGTGTGCTTAATATTGATACTTCCCACCCAAGCACCAGATGTAAAGTTTCAGCACAGCAAGGTCAAGGTTACTACCTCCACAGAGGGCGCTGACAATCCCTATGCCAATTACAGAGACAAGTTTCTGAGTGACCACCCCTGAAGGCTATAATTGCTTTTAACCACACACATATCAGGGCCATTTTATCCTTGGCAACAGTTGAAGACTGTTATGCAAACACATTTCTACCTCTGTTCAAAAAGCTTGTTGAATGCCTCTCAGTAAAAAAAAAAAAAGAAAAAAAAGAAAAAAGAGAAAGAAAAAAAGGTACTTTTCTCTGCTGATCCGAGTCTGCTTCACATACCTCCAATCTTGGCGTTGAATGCAATTCCTACTGTGCAGTGTGAGTTGTTTGCTGCAGCTGCCACTTCCCCAGCACAACGGGTCCCATGTCTGCAGGCAGAACACACACATTTTTCTAAAGTAAGTAACACCATCCAAATAGACCTAAGGCATTGACTGGTAGGTACCACTTCAGCTTAACAATTTAGATTCTGGGTACTTCTGGATGTCCCAGACCCAAGGAGTACTTATGGTTTCTACCACACAATTTTAGCACCAAATTATATTGTCTCGTCTCGTTCAGTTTCTTATTCATTATTCTTCTGTCCCTGGATAAACTGGGTAGGCACTTAATAAATGTTTATTGACTGGCTGACTGGAGAGCTCTTTAGGTCATCTCCTTGACAGCAGGAATCACTGGATTTATTCCTTTTTTGTGTCATCCTGTAACTTTCACAGTGCTGAGCATGTAATAAACAATCAAGGAACATTGATTGTTTAATTGATCGGTGTTGAGATCAAATGAGTATTTCTCCATATTTTAGATTGTCTGCTTTAACAAAATTCTTTGTACCTTATTAATAACACTTCAAAATACTACTCCATCTTCCTGTCTCTCACCCATCAACTACTTCACAACCTTCTGTTTTGTTAACCTTCCTTGAACACAAAATCTAATATTATTTCCCTGCAAAAAAAAACCTTTGATTCAATTAAAAAAACCATTTATTAAGTGCCTATTATGTGAAAGGAAGCAGGGACACAAAGTTAAATAGCAGGACACATGACTTCAAACAGTTTACATTCTATTTGGGGGCAGGAAACTATGAGGTCAAAGGAGAAATCTACAAGGTGTGCTCTAGGAAAATCTGAGGAGACTTGAGCAAATCCAGGAAATTTCTATGGTGGAACCAGCACCTGTGCTAAGCCCTAAAGGAAGAGAAATGTTCCAAATGACAGAGACGAGAAGTGTATTGTAGGCATTGAGAGCAGCCTATGCAAACGTGAAGTGGCCAGAGATGACAGGCATCTGAAGTTAGGGAACCAGCCAGTAGCACTGCAGGGCTAGAATTCGGAGTGCATTAAGAAAAGTAATGTGAAATAAGCCTGGAAGAGTAAATTGGAACCAGAGTGTAGCGGGTCTTAAATGCCAGAATAATGAGACTATATTTATCTCATCCATAATGGGGAAGCCATTTTAAGGCTTTTGAATAAGGAGGGAATATTTAAACCTATATCTTATTAACAATTTTAGACTTTCCATTGCCTGGTGGATGATATATATACTGCTCCATCTGACAGTCAAGGTATTATCCAATCTTGTACCAACATAATTTCCCAGACTTATCTCCCACTAAACCTTAATAATTTCTCTATACTCCAGCCAAATTGAACTGACTATATTCCCTAAACATACCCCTTACATAGTTCCCTTTGGCTGAAATGCACTCAATCCACCATTGCTTTTTTGAGTTGTCAAAACCATACCTATCCTCCAAGGTTACCTCAGATTTTACTATCTCCATATACTTTCTTGATTCTCTATGGCCAGAAATAATTTCTCCCTTGTCCATTATGTTCTATACTTCATTTATAACCCTTAGTACATTTTATCATAATTTTTAAAATAAATATATGCATATTTTTATAAAACATTTTTATAAAAATTTCATATAGACTGATCTTTTCTTTAGAGTAAAATCTCTCAAAGGGAAGGGTATATATGTATCTTATCCATTCTTGTTTTTCTGAGATTACCTGGGACACCCCTGCCAAATGGGTTTTTCCAACCATCGACTGCTTTTGCTCCTATTCATGTGCTACTGAATAAAGCTCAAGAAAATCACAAAATCTTGGGGCTTGGGTCCACTACAAATTTATGTTACATATTCTCAATTGGTCCCTCACTAAGACAAGGCAATCCTTTTTACTCATGCCTAATTAACTCACTATCTCACTCACCATAGCAGCTCTGACAAACATTTTCATCCCTTCTTAATCCTCCCATGGTTCCCTTTTCTCCCACCTTCTCAGCTCAGAACCTTGCTTCATATTTTAATGAAAAAAATATAGGTAATTCACTGAAAGCTCTCTTCTTTCCCTTCCTTCTCATTTCACATCATCCAGATATCTTCAGCCACTGTTTCCTCCTTCACCTCCGTCTCAAATGAAGATGTGGCCTTACTCCTTACCAAGACTAAGTACTCTACCTGCATAAGCAATCCCATTCCATATCATCTCCTCCCGCACATTGCCTCTTCCATCATCCCTACTCTCTCATTTATCTTCAATCTCTCCCTATCTACCGGTTGCTTCCCTACAGCCTACAAACATATCCATGTCTCCTCTATGCTCAAAAAACCTTCAGTTAATTCATTCATTCCCACCAGCTATCATTTCATATCTCTCCTCCCTTTTGTGGCTAAACTCTTTGAGAAGGCTATCTATTATACATGTATCCACTCTCTCTCCTCTCATTCTCTTCTGAACTCTGGGCATCTAGATTCCAACCAACCTTATTAATTAAACAAAACTCTTCTTTCCAACATTACCAATGACCTCTTAAATGAATGACCTTTTTTCTTTTTTTCCATTATTAATTCTTCTTAACCTCTCTGCAGCTTCTGAAGCTTTCAATCACCCTCTTCTCCTTGATATTCTCTTCTCTCTAGATTTCCCTTACACTAGTCTATTCTTGTTCTTCTCTTACTGTCTGACCACTCCTCCTCCTTTGCTGGATCTCCCTTCATCCAAGTCATGCCCAATGATCATGGTTGTTGTCCTCCAAGACTCTGTCCTGGGCCTACTTCTCTTCTTTCTCTTATGCTTTTTCCTTTGGTGATCTCATCAGCTCCCATGGATTCAATTATTATTGTTATGCTAATGATTCTTAAATCTACTGATCCTGCCCCAACCTGTCTCTTAACCTCCAGACTCTCATCTCCAACTGCCTATAAGAAGTCTCCAACTATATTTTCCATAGACAACTTAAATTCTCTATGTACAAAACTTTCCTCCCAAACTTTCCCCCATTTCAAACTTCCCTGTTACTGTTGAGGGTGCCACTATTCTCCCAGTTGCTGAGGCTCACAACTTAGGTGTCATCCTCAATTGCTCAATCTCCTGTTACTTCTTTCACAACATATTCTCTTCTCTGCTTTGACAGAGCCACCGCCTTGGTCCAGGCCTCATTACTTCATGCCTAGACGATCACAACAGCCTTCTGGTTGGTGTCCCTGCCTCAAGACTCTGCCACCTCCAGTTCATCTTCCACTCTACCATAAAATTAATCTACCTAAAGCCTAGGTCTGCCCACATCATGCTTCTATTCAATAAATTCCAGTGGCTCACTATCATCTCCGAGATTAAATATACAATCCTCTATTTGGCATTCAAAGCCTTCACAACCTGGCCCCCTTCTACTTTTCCTATCCTCTTATACCTTACCCACCCCCATATAGTCTTCTATTCAGCAATACAGGCCTCCTTAATGTTCCCTACACAAGACGTTTCCTATTCCCTGACTTTGGGCATTCTCTCTTGCTGTCTTCCATGCCTGGAATTCTCTCCATCCTCATCTTTGCCTCCTAGATTCCCTGACTTGCTTCAAGTCCCAGATAACTTTCTTTCTTTTCTGTTTTGGTTTTTGTTTGTTTGTTTGTTTTTATGTGAGGCAATTGGGGTTAAGTGACTTGCCCAGAGTCACATAGCTAATGAGTGTTATGTGTCTGAGGCCAGATTTGAACTCAGGTCCTCCTGACTCCAGGGCTGGTGCTCTTTCCACTTCACCACCTAGCTGCCCCCCAGCTAACTTTCTATAGGAAGCCTTTCCTAATCCCCTTTCCCTCTGTTGATCATCTCCAATTTATCCTGTATATAGCTTATTCATACATGGTCATTCGCATGTTGTCTTTCCCATTAGATAGTGAGCTTCTTGAGAGCAGAGACTGTCTTTTGTCTTTCTCTGCATCCCCAATGTAGCACAGTCTCTGATACACAGCAGGAGTTTAATAAATGCTTATTCACTGACTGCCTTGCACAGGGTAGATACTCAACATATATTTGTTGAAAGAATAATGCAAGAAGAGATGTTTCTAAGCAGGTATTTCAAAAAGTTCTATCTTCAGAAAGGCACCTGGAAGGGGAACTTAAAAGATCAGTTAGCCTGATGTTCTCATTTTACAGATAAAGAAACCGATTCCCAGAGATATTGAGCCAATGTCTTATGATCAGATTTTGAGTTGGAGGGACATTGGAGGTCATCTTATCCAGCCTCTTCATAAGATGAATGTCTAAGTGACATTCTTTAGTGGTTTCCAACCTGTGGGAGATATGCCCCTAGAAGTCTTTTTTTTTTTTTTTTTGGTGAGGCAATTGGGGTTAAGTGACTTGCCCAGGGTCACACAGCTAGTGAGTGTTATGTGTCTGAGGCCGGATTTGAATTTAGATCCTCCTGACTCCAAGGCCGGAGCTCTATCTACTGCGCCACCTAGCTGACCCAACCCCTAGAAGTCTTGTTACAAAATTATTGCAAGGGGAACATATTTGTTGTTATTGCTCAGTAATGTACAACTCTACATGACCCCATTTAGGTTTTTTTTTTTAGCAAAGATACTGGAGTGGTTTGCCATCTCCAGCTCATTTTACAGATGAGGAAACTGAGGCAAACAGATTTATAAGTGACTTGTCCAGGATCATGCAGCTCGTAAGTGTCTGAGTGCAGATTTGAACTCAGGAAGATGAGTCTTCTTGACTGTAGGCCCAGCACTCTATTCACTGCACTATCTAGCTGCCCCGAAGATGTTCATATGCAAATTCATAAGTAAGCAAGCACACCTTCTGTAGACTAAATAAGTAATACACCTCACATATGTATTACTATTATATTGTATATATGTATTACAGTTATCCCTTCCATATCATGGGGGTTAGGGACTCCAGATTTCCATGATCTAGAAAATCAGCATAAAATTTTTTGGCCCTCCTTTCATACCACAGAAGAAGTTTGAATTTTTTCTTTTCCTTTCACAGGGTTGTTTAACTGTAAACCTTATTATAAAATCTGGATTGACATTATACAATACTACAGATATATTTTATTTATTTCTGAG